ACCTGCTTCCTAACCCAAGACTTGAGAGAAACAAGATGATTTTAAAGGGTGTGGGAATTGAGACCTTTTTGTACATATGTCCCTTATTCAACAATGTCCTCTCCAAACTCCCCTCACTCCATCCAGATGGGGTGACTGGTAAATTTGGGCCATAATTTCCCTTCATGCTTGGCAGAGTAAGAATGTTCAAGTATGTTAATGGTGATTTGAATGATAATACTCATACCTAAGTCCTATATGTCAACTGATTCCTCAGCAAGCCCTCGGTAGAGAAACCTATTTTGTGAAGTTATTTGCTTTGTCTTGATTCCAAAAATTGAATCATATTTGCTTTTTCTGTGGTTTGATTTTTTTTTTGCTTTTGTATAAGTCAGGATTTATTCTTGACAATAAACAGCCTTTGTCATGATTTAGCTTCTGGCAGAAATGAAGATGGAAAAGGATTTCTTTCCTGTTGGGAGAGAAATTGCTGGAATTGTGTTGGATGGTAAGTTTGCAAATGTAAATATCTATTTATTTTCTAAGGTACAGGAAATTACATGGCAGCTAATTGGTTTACTGGCACATAAAATCATACACATTTCTGTAAATATAAAATTTAATTATACAGAAATGTTTTTTTGGTTTTTTTTTAATTTTTTGTTTATTTTTTATTGGGGAACAGCCATGATCATTGGTTATACATTGCTTTCATGCTACAATGGCATAGTTGACTCTTTTAAGGAAGGGCGCACCTCACAGTAGCCCATGCGGGGATCGAACCAGCAACCTTGGTGTTATCAGCACCATGTTGTAACCAACTGAGCTCACCGGTCACCCCAGTGTTTTCCTTTTCTAAATTAAAAAGAAAAATAGAGCTTAACTGGTGTTTTATAATTAAAGAGCTAATTACACTTCAGTAAATATTTAGGAATTCTGTATTTAAATCTGGGAGTAATCATATTGAATAGAATAACTAGTGTTATCCTTGTTATGATGTTTACAAACTAGCATAAATTACTTGTGTGACTTGGCTTTGGGCTAAAATTTATATAGTAATCACATTAAATTCACATTACATTTTAAAGTTTGCCTAAAATTGAGCATTTAAAAGTTAAGTAGTTTGCTCATCTAAAAATGGGTTCTAGGGAGAAATAACCAGCAAGATTTTATGATTGCCTTAAATAAAAACATGTTTTAAGTTTTATTTAATAAATAATGGTCTTAACATGCAGGACAGTATAGCTGAGTACTTGAAATATGTAATTTGTTTCTACATAGACCTGCTGTTCATATTCACTGCTAATAGGTAGTTCATGATCAGTCAGTATCTGCTCGTTCTGCATATGTGAATGAATGAATGAATGAATGAGCGTGTAATATAATGGGCTAGACTGTTTGAGTTTTGCCTATAATTGTAACCCATAATATATTTGATACTCTTTCTCAATATAATCTTCTAAGACAGCTAAATCATAGTTTTGTTCCCTCTTCTTTCTTCTGCTCACACTGTAGGAAAAAAAAAAAAAGAAAAAAATTATAGTAGCCAGAAGATGAGTAATCATTTATTTATTCATTTATTCCATATTTAATGAGCACTTGTTAAGTGCTTAGTGTATAAAAATCATTCAGCAGCAAGGATATCATGAGCAAAGGCAGAGAAGCAAGTAATAATGTGATGTATGTAGGAAGAATGACAGAGATTGGTGTTGCTGGAGCAAAATAAGGTTTCGACAGGCCTTGGAGGTAAGGTACTTGCACAGAGAACCATTTTGTCAAGAAAATTCTCCTTCAAACGTAGAAGAATAAAAGATAGTGAACAAAATATTTTAATGATGATATGAACTTCCCCCCAAAATATGAGACAGGAAGGTAGGTAAGGGCCAGACCCATGATGAGCCTCAATTGTCAGCTTGGGTTTTAAGGGAGATTATTAGAGCAGCCACATGAACGGTAGATGTGGGGCAAACCAGGCTGCAGGTAAGAGGACTGAATGGAGTGTAGACTAATAGGCAAGAGATGACAGAGTCCATAACCTTGACTGCGGTGGCAAAGGTGAACAGGGACATATTCAAGAAATACTGAGGGAGTCAAGTCAGCAGGGCTTAATAATTGACTGGAACAGGAATTATAAACCGATAAGAGCCAGGAGTGATTTACAGGATTCTGGTAAGGTATGAATTGGTGCCACCAATTAATAAGAGGAGAGGATTTGATTTGGAGGAAGATGGTGAGTTTAGATTTATGATTGTTGAGTTCAAGGTACCTAAGTGATAGCCCAATGAAATATGTAGTAAGCAATTATGTGAGTTTAAGTTCAAAGGCGAGAGACCTATGCTGGAAGTGTATATAATATATTTGAGAGTTGTTAGCATGTAGGTTGTATTTTAAATATAGCAGAGTTGATGAACTCACCCAGAGAGGGAGTAGAAATGGAGGAGAGACATATGCATAGCACGGAACCCTTGGGGATGCCACTATTCGAGGGACAATCAAACGGAGTGTGAAGGAAGCCAAGAAAAAAGCATCAGAGTGATCTCAGGAGGAGGAGGATCAGAAGGAGAAGATAAAAGTACAATGGATCAGAAGTCCAAGTTATTGGAAGATGATGGCACAGGAGGGATCCAAAGAACAAACTGTAAAGGGAGGACTTGAAAGTAGGAATATCAGACTTAGAGTTCCTTGTTGGGTACCAAAAATGAGTTCTGGGGCCCTTTTGATGACAGAGCCTGCCAAAGAGGCCACTTCTAGATTTCAGGCTTCCACCTTACTTTTCTGCTTCACCTCAGTTTCCTTGTCTGTTAAATAGGAATGATAATGCCTACCTCATGTATAGCAGGAAGATTAAATGTGATAACACACTAAAATGCTGGACA